CCCTAATCTGAGTACAAAATCACCCAGATTTCCATTATTTTAGGGTATACATGGATATGGAGAGGCTAGAGGGAGGCCACTGGCATGTTTGGTGAGCCAAGAAAACTCCTTTCTCGAACAGGTATAAAGTGTGAACCCAAACTCATCTGTCCCCTCTCAGACCATGCCTGTGACAGAGGAGGTGGTTAATGGCTCATCCTCAGAGGACCCACCTACCTAAGGATGCAGAGAGGTGGAGTGTAACTGAACACAGAATAATGAATGCTTTGACACATGCTGAGCCTCAAAATAATCAAGAAATGTCAAGTCAAACAATAGGAATTTTTTACAATTATAGATTTTTGACATTTAATAAGATTGATAATATATACTCATATATTGCTGTTGAGATTGTATATTGTTATAAATTCTTTAGAGGGTAATTTTGCAGTGTCTGTCAAAATTTAAAATGTAAAGTCACTTTGGCCTCACCATTTTACTTCTAGAAATTCTTCTTAAACTAGTAAGCTCATGTAAGTGATATGTGTGCTCTCGTACATATATACACAAAGATTTATTACACCATGATTTCTAGCAGTGACAAATTATAAATCACTTAACTGGCCTGCAATAGAAACACTGAATAAATTATGGCATATTTATAAAACCAACATAATGCTGCCTTCAAAAATAAAAGGTAATTGATACATGTATGAATAATGGATGATAGGACATGTGGTGCCATGAAATAAGCATTTTTTAAAACATGGTTTATATATCACATGTACATAAATATATATAAGTATTATATATACTATAATATTATATAGAAAATAGAACTATATAAAATTGTAAGTTTTGTGGGTTAAAAATACTGGAATATTAGCAATTTTATAAAGTTCAAATTGTTATGTTTAGGAAGAAATATTTTTTAAACTACAGCTGGTTTTGCATTCCAGAAATAACTGTTTTGTCAGTTTCTGCATTTTGAGGTTATTTTATCAGGACGGATTTAATGCACTTTGTTTTATATTAAGTCAACACTGAATGTTTCTTGAAATCCTCCTACCTGCTAAGCACCATTCCAGACTCTGAAGATTCCATAGTAGAAAAAAGAAAACAGTTAAAAAGAGAAATTCTTCCCTCACAGAGGTTACATTTAAAAAGATACTGTTAGGGCCCTGAGTTTATTAAGTGTGATTAGAGAATATCAAGGCATATACAGTGCAAATTACTAAGGAGTTAAGTAGTTTAGCTGTTAACTTGGAATGTACCTGCAATTAAGACTTGCCACCATAAATTTATCAATCACCATATACCCTTTAAACATAACATGAAAGCACTACAGAGTTTGATTGGCAAACCCTGAGACACCTCAGAGATGGCTGCAGGCTGCTACACTTTGCAAGCTGTCACTTGCCATTGTTAGAAGGTAGGTTTCTGATTCAACATTTTGAGGATTCTGGGGTACAGTGTACTTTTAAAGTGCTTATTAAAATATTGCAGTTGGGATAGCAGTGGACCAGGACAGTGTAATTGACATTCTTTTACAAGGATGCTTTATTTAAAGCATCCTTAAATAGAGACCCCTTAATGCTCTCAGCAGGTTCTCTGGACTGTATCCTTTCCTTTGAGTCTCAGCATCTTTCCTCTGCTAGAGAGTGTCACACAGAATGAACACCAAACTGGTACTCACCAGACCTAGGTTTGTGCTCTGAATCCAGACCTACTATGTTTCAAACCAGTTCCCCTTTCTTTACTTTAGATTCCACATCTATAAAATGGTAATCAGGGAGGTGGTTGCTGGGTAGTTTTTCTAAGATTTCTTCCAGCTCAAATTTTTTATAATTCAATGAGCCATGAAGAAATACTGTGGAATACAGTATAGAGATAAGCTGGGTAAGAATCACAAGACAAAAAGACTACATGATCATCCTTTGTATCAATCAGGACTTTCAGTTGCAAACAACAAAATTTACACTGGTTAGCTAAAGAGAATTTAGGTGATCTCTAGAAGGGCCTGGAAAGCAAGTGTCGCTGCTACTTGAGAATGAACCATATAGTCAGGAAGAACATTCAGCTACATATAGTGTAGGGCGGTTAAAGTGAAAACACCCCTCCTATAGTGACTGGCTCCCAGGTGCTGATCACACTTGGTGCTGAGCACCATGAGCCCCCAAAGAAAGGATGCTTCCTCACTGACTGAATGAAAGATCCCATTGGGCCCAGGCCCATTCTCATGTTCCTCTCTTCTGCATCTAAGCCTCCTGCAGGTAAACCTGATTATGGGAATGCAGGGTGCCTACTCACAGCCCTCAAACACAAGGGATCCTGGGGAAGTTTTTGTTTTTATTTTCCCTTGGAAAGACAGATTCACAATATGGGAATGTATCACAATGCAAAGAAGGTAATCAGAAGATATTAAAAAGTACAATTAGCCAAAAACATGTAACTTAACTTATGCATAATAAATCTGGTATATCCTACAGCAAAAGGTAGTTCTAGTTATCTTGTTAAAAGTTATTTTTGTCCATCAGCGGACACTTAGGAGGTTGTTTCCATATCTTGGTTATTATGAATAATAATGCTGCAGGGAACATGGAGGTGCGGATCTCCCTCTGAGATAGTTTCCTTCAGGCACATACCCAGAAGTGCACTGTTGGATCATAGGACAGCTTTATTTTTCATTTTTTGCAGAACCTCCATACTGTTTTCCATAAGAGCTGTGCTAATTTACATTGCACCCAACAACGGGAATATCAAGGATTCCCTTTCTCTGCATTCTCATCACCACTTGTTAGCACCTGTCTTTTTGATAATAGTCATTTTGACAGGTTTGAGGTGATGTCTCATTATGGCTTTGATGTGCATTTCCCTGATTAATGACATAGAACATATTTCATGTACCTACTGGCCACTTGTATGTCTTTGGCAAAATGTCATTTCAGGTCCTCTGTCCATTTTTGAATAGTATTTTTTGTTTTTTTGGCTACTGAGTTGTAAGAGTTCCTTATACATTTTGGATGTTAATTGCCTTAACAGATGGTATGGTTTGCAAATATTTTCTCCCATTTTGTAGTCTGCCTTTTCATGAATGGCTAAAAAATATTGTGTATATAGATAATGAACTATTATTCAGCCATAAAAAAAACAAATCCTGTCATTTGCTACAACATAGATGAAAATGGAAGACATCATGCTAAATGAAATAAATTAGAGCAGAGGGAGACAAATAATGTACGGTATCACTTATTTGTGGAGTCTTTTTTTTTTTTAAAGGACCAATTTCATAGAAATAGAGTAGAAAGATGGTTTCCAGGAATTAGGGGGTAGGGGAACTGGGAAGATGTAGACCAAAGGGTAGAAATGTTCAGTTTTAAGATGAATAAGTTCTTAGGATCTAATGTTCAGACTGCTTAGTATAGTTAATAGATATCATATACTTGAAATTTGCTGACAACAGATCTTGAGTTGTTTTTTTTATCACCACCCCTCCCCAGCCAGGAGTTAACTCTGTTATGTGTTGTGTGATCACTTCACAATATATCCGCTTATCAAACCATCACGTTGTACACTACATACATACAATTTTATTACTTTTCCATAAAGCTGAACAATTTTCTTTAAAATCTTACTGTCGTATATTAATCAGAACTTAGTTGTAGAAAAGAGGAACCATTCTGGCTAATTCAAGTCTGCTGAAATTTAATTCAAAGATTAAGTGGCCACACACTCACTCACGTGAGGGTGAGAGGGACAGAGGGTCAGCTGAGCTTCCAGGAATGCCTGCACTACCACAGACGGGGCCGCTACAGGGCTGGCGCCCCCGCTGCCCTCAGGGAGCCGGGGCTCTGCTGTAGTGCTGGCTCCAGGGTGAGGTCTTTCAGCATCTGTGCCAGCAAACTGGCTTCATTCACTGCCCTCTACACCCATCAAACGCAGGTCTGGATGCTGAACTTTCCCTGACAGCTGAGGAGAAAAATCACGTGCCTTCACAATGTGCTCAGCAGTGGAAAGAAAGCAAGCAGTTCAACCTCTGCTTTCTGCCCTCCTAAGCTTAAGGTGCAGAAAATGAGTTACATGCAAACCAGAACTGTAGGTCTGGGAAAGTTGCCTTGAACGTTTGTAGCATGCGATGAAGCAAACAACACAGAGGCTGGAGTGGATCACAGTGAGCTATCTGCAAGATCTGCCTCATTTTGTTGAGCTCTTGGACAGTTGGGAAAGGTCAGTCTTACCAAGAGTTAGTAGCTTTTGCCTAATAAATATCTAAGGAAGTTAGTGCTCTCCATTGACACTCAGGCTTCCAAATCATTAAGTTGTCCAAGTCTACACGGTGAGGAAATAGAAGAGCTAGGATTGAACTTAAATTTTCTGCTTCCAAGGACAGCACTCTGTCAACTCCTCACTGTCCAGGCTGTGGCACAGCTTGGATAACTAGCCTCACCTCTCTCTCTCTCTCTCTCTCTCTCTCTCTCTCTCTCTCTCTCTCTCACACACACACACACACACACACACACACACACACAACCATTCATTTGTACATGGCAGATTTTTCTTTACCTTCACCTCAGACTTGAACCTTAGCTTAGGTCATGAGGCAGGAAACACACAGGCCCTTAGGATGTGGACTTGTTATTGTATCATTTGCTGATACTGAAACTGGCAATATCCCTGCTATAATGGAACAAATGGGACCATAATTGCACTGCAAAATCACGATGACTACACAGTCACTCATGATCATGAATATGGCTGCGACACTCACCCTCTCTTCTGAAATAGTGGGGGCTTCCGCCCAAGACCACAGCCCATTTTTCCTGGGAGTGAAGCTTATTAGTAGCTATAATTTAGATACTGCCCCTTATAAATCATGGTGTATTCTTAGCACATCTAATGAATGAGATTTATATTTAAGTCATCAGAGAGCAATGTATAATTGCTAAATTTATACTTATATATAATAATTAGCAATGAATGAAGAACTTATACTATTGCAATCCGTGTTTTGCAGGATATAGAAAATAAAAAAATGAAATTGACTGAAGTTAAGGCTGTTTTGTAACTTCTTCAGAAAGGAGAATATAAATGCTAGAAGATCCGTTGAAATACTCTGAAAGGTGGAATTTCCCAAGAAAACAAATAACCAAGCCAGGTAAAGGCACCCCTAGCTGTTCCGCAGAGCAAGTAAGCTGAACAAAGATGGCCTTGCAGCCATGGGCTTGGAGGTGTGATTTCGAACACCTTTTCCAGTACTTTTAGACAAGTCACCCCAGCTCTGCTGTTGAGGTGGGGGTTGTGGGGGAGGGGTGGTCAGCACCCCCAGACTGCTAAATTACAGCTAACTGCCCCCTGTGAAGCAGCTTCACTCCCTGCAGCTAGAGGAGGAAGAATACTTATGTCATCGTGATCTGCCGATTTGCTCTGTGGATTTCTGGCAGAGTCAAGAGATTCAAGTTTATTTCAAAGTTTTAAGTGAAGAAGCTTTTTTAAGAATAGAGGAAGAAAAGCCTTTAATAACTAAAACAAATCATTAAGCTCTCTAATATGGGAACCATCACCTTAAAAAATAAATATTTGTTACATCTTTACTTTCTTTTTCACACACATTAGCAGGTGAATATGGGCACCAAATTCCATTTCTTTCTTTCCCTGAGCATTTGCTTACTACAGAGCTTAGCATTCAGTGGACACACACCTAGATTCAAACCTTGACTGAGTGGAAATATTAGGGCACAGTTTCTTTAGTTACAAGGATGCCTCTGTTTCCCTTAGATTCTGGAAGTGACGCTCAAACTTCAGTGTGCACCCACACACAGATACCAGGTGCACCCTAGAACTTCTGATTGGCAGATCAGAAGTGGGGCCTGAGGATTTGCACTCGAACAAGTTCCCAGTTGATGCTGATTCAGCTGGTCTGGATATCACGCTTTGAGAACCATGAGATTATAACACTGCTTTAGGTAAGTGAATGTGGTTTTGCAATGATATTACCTGATTTTTCCTGGGAAGTGAGCTCTTCTTCATTATAGAAAATTTAATGATATGGGGCAATTTATTAAATTGCAGATAGCATCAACAAGTTCAGAATTATGGCTGGTCAACTTGCTGACTTTCATTCAGACAAATGCAGACTTTACCCTGTGCAGCCCTTACCCTGTGCAGCCCAGAAGCTGCAAGAGTTTTTCTTTACCACAAAGAGCATAATGCAGCAGAAGGAATTCTGAGTTTAGTCAGAAAATCTGTAGGCAAATTCCACTTCTTATGACCTTCAGCAGCCCTGATCACATGACCCGCACCTTACCGTCTGGGAACCTTGGTTTCCTTGTCACCAAACAGGGGATGATGCCATCTGTCCTGAAGACCTCACAAATTCTTACAGGCATCGAGTTACATAATGTGTCCTAAAATAACTCATCAACTGGAATACAATAAATAGGAGGTAGAATTCCACTCTGTTCAATAAAAAATAAGTTCAGCCTTGATGAACATATCTCCAAATAAGCCTAACAAAAATGTAACAAAAGGATGAAATACATTTCATAATAATGGCTGACTATATAGAAGAAATTTTAGAAATGATAAACATCTATAATATATGTTACCTCACATACCTAATCTTAAAATGTTTAGTATAATATGTGTTTTAGTCCATTTATTGTCATTAAATCTTTCATGGTTTTAATACCAAGTCATATTTATGTAATATTTTATAACTGTCCCGGGGCTTTCTCTTAAATTATTTAACCTTTAAAACCCCCCAGTGAGGGAGACAGTGTTTTCCCTTCCCTGCCCTCCTTCTTTTAGTTGCTCAGGGTAACAGAAGCTCCACTGTGGAGTCTTGTAAGTTCTTTCATCTTGCAATGCCTGTGGGCATTATTGAAGCATGTGAGATGACTCCAGCTCTGGGGGAATAATTCTTTTTTGAAGTTTATAAAGCTGCTCACCTTTCCTTCTCCCGAGAATCTTCTATGATTTCACATAACAACCCCACAACCCCAAACAATGTGGAATTCTAGAGAGGCAGAAGGAGAGCTTTTGGTTTTTCTTTCCTGTGGTCATGGTGCCCTTATTTTGGTTCATGGTCTCTTGGAACAGTTGTCCTGGACAGTCAGCATTACATATGTCCCCAGATGGCCCTGAGTGCTTCTGGATTCTTGGTTCTGAGGATTTCCTCTCCTCAAATTCATAGGTGTCTTCTGTCGCCTAGTATCCTAACATATAAACATGAGGAGCACTAGACCCACACAGCCAACAGGGAGAAGCTAAAAGGTTAATCTCTGACTATATCCTACACACACACACACACACACACACACACATAGAGGCAAAATGGCAAGGAGAGTGCCTCAGATACCCGGAATATGAGATGAGAAAACGAATGGCATCAGATCAGCTGTTCTTCATCATAAGGATTCTCACCAGCAGAATAAAACATGGAGTGAAGAATAAACCAAGTAGGTAGAGTCCCTTGAAATGGGTTATCAGCACCTGTCACATCACCTCTATCCTCCTTTGAGAGCCCAGCTAACCTCGTCCCTACTGCATGAACAAGGAAAATGAAATGATAAAGTGGCAGAGTGAAGACATATCTGGTGACAGTAACCCCATGTTTTCCCATGTACAGTGAGGTCCCTTTCATCTGTGACTACTGCTATGCACCATATCTTAAGGTATGAACTGAGACAGAAGGTGTCTGAGACTCAAGTGTCCCCTTGTAAAAGAAGTGACCCCAAGCCTGCTCAACCAAAACACGGCATGGGTGTTGGATGGCTAATAAGTGACTGTGTGAGGAACGACCCCAGCTCCATGACACCTTAACTGGATTTCATCAAGATCGTGACTCCTCCCTCTCTCGGGCTGGATTTCCAGTCCTGGGCTTGCTGCCTGTGGTTACACTCAGCTGGCATCCTGAAGATGTCAGCTGGGTGAGGGATGAAAAGCTGTTTTGCTCCTAACCCCACCTTCCTTTCTTTTTTTAAATAGCCTGCTCAAAGGGGTGCTTGGGTGCTAGTGCTGTCGTGACCCAGATCATTGAACCTCTCTGACATCCCGTTTTCTCAGCTCTACAATGAGAGTAAGATGGATGATTTTCAGGGACCTAGTCACACTCGATTTCAAAGGATTTTGAGGAGCCTGATGCAGAACGTTTTGTGCCACTTACATTTTTGGTTCCCTACATGTAAGTATTTTTATGTGAGACTAACCATATTGGCTTACTTCCTGACTTATGATTGGCTATTACCCCTCATTTTTTACTGAATTCTAACCAATATGAGCTAAATTTTACTGAGTATTCACTGTGTGCCAGTTACAAGCTTTTTACTACGTGCAGTTGTTTTATCCTCACCACATTTCTGTGGGACTTGTCCTTCCAGCACGCCTGTTTTTATTGATGAGGAAGCAAAGCCAAAGTGATGGGAAAGAACTTGCCCACAGCCACAGGTAGAAAGCAGTGGAACCAGGATTAGAAACCAGGGAGTTTGGTTCCAAAGCCCGTGTCATAAATTGCCATCCATTTTGCCTCACAGAGGTTCAATCTGACTATAAGTATCTGTTTAGAATTTCAAAGTTAAACATATAGGAGAACTTGAGCATTCTTATCGCAAATAAGGCAGCACATTGAATGCACCAAAACTCATTTATCTTAAAACATCCCTCCCACAAGCACGCACTCCCAAAGTGGCATGCTGTTCAGGTTAGAGCATGGACTCTGGAGGAGAACTCATCCTTGCAAAGGATGTGCAGGAGAGAAACTAGGCTTGGTGGGTCACTGGGTAACACTGAACTGTCCAAATTCCCCTTCACGTCAAGAGCCTCCTTTCCCCCAGAAAAGAAAATAATACCCAGCATTTCACCCATCATCGGTCACTTCATCCAGTCTTGGAAGTGTGCAAATTGAACTCAGAAGGTCATTTCCTCCTTTGTCCTCCAGTCCCCGAGGCTGAAGTGTTCCCTCAGACAACAAGATGCCATTGGCCAGTGCTCTTTCAGCTTTTTCAGGAATCAGGAAGCTTCAGAACTAAGAAGAGAACCCCCACTGAGGAAAGGCAGTGAAGAAGCAGTGGGCTGCACTGTACATCTTTCCTCTGCTGCTGGTAATAGAGCCCAGAGATGGGAGCATCATTTCCCTTCCCTTTTTCCAGACGGAAGTGAGGAGCATTGGGGTTAGTGCTGGCAAAGGTCTGAAAGGGCCTGTGTGCTGAACATACAAACAACCTTTGCCCAATCAGGGGTGTCCAACCTGTGGCCCGTGGGCCACATGCGGTTCAGGATGGCTATGTATGTGGCCCAACACACAAAGTAGTAAATTTACTTAGAACATTATGAGTTTTTTTGTGATCATGTGTTGCAGTGTATTTAAAGTGCGGCCTAAGACAACTCTTCTTCCCGTGTGACCCAGACGCAACAAAAGGTTGATGCCCCTGAGTGTAAACGCTTGTTGAGATGCCATTAACAGTGAGGAGGGAGCCAGGTTGGCTCAGGCTGGCACAGTCTTCTCCCAAGTCAACACTCCCCATGTAGTAGAAAGAATGGTATCAAGAGCAAATGCTTCAAATATGTGTGAAGAGAATCTAATGCCTACAAATGGCTAAGGGTATTCTTTAGTTTATGAAAGAATTCTCTCTAAATGGGAGAAGCTGGACCCATGAGCAAACCCATCATATAACCTGCTAGGGGGTCACCGGTGATTTTGTGATATGTCTCTGAGAGTAGGACATTATGACATTATGTAAGCAGACAGTTTTGTCATCTTTATGCTTTTGTTCACAGCATTAAGGCTGGATTAAAATACCACACAATGCCTCTCAACCTATTATACCAGATCAACAATGGCAGAAAGCTATTCACGCAGCTGTATGTGAACTGAAATAAAACAGGGGCTCTCTCGTCCCATTTTGCATGCTGCTTTAAATTACATCAGCAGTAAATCATGTTTTATTATACATGCTTCTGCTCAGATGGGGAAGCACAAGAAAAAAAATATGCCAAGAACAACTCACGGTGGATCAGTATCAAATCGATCTTGCCAATGGAGTCCTCCCTACCTGCCCCCACCCCCAGTGTCAATGCCCGTCAGCAGTGTTCACCAAGTGAGTGATTGTACAATAACAAACTCTGGAAGTCATACATTTTACTTTTTTATTGGGGAAAGCTGATGTTCTACAAACAAAAATATTCTTATAAATAGGCAAGAGGATAATGGGAATGAAAGAATTTCAAGTAGGGAGGAGGAAGGTATTCTATGTTGACATGGAACAATACTCCGTAATTGTAACCAGGCAGCATTAAACAAAAGTGCAGCATGTCAGATAGGAGACTGCGGCGGTGGGGGTGGGGGGGTGGGGGGGGAGTGCACAGGCAGTGATAACCACCTGGAGCTCTGCTCTCGGGTAATGCCCCGGTCCAGGCCCTCCCGGGAGACGCTGATTCGGAGGGTCTGAACTTCTGATTTATACAAAAGCTCTCAAGCAGGCTGATTCCCTTTTCTATTGAACAAGCACTGCTCTCAATCCCCACAGTATGATACTTCTTAGTTTGAAAGATAATGAAGGTAATGATATCCACTAGTTCAGCCATTGACACACCCTGAGAAGTAGCCCGAAGACCAGTGCCAGCTCTTGGAACCTGGATGATGAAAAGTGTATTCACACCATTACACAGGCTTTCTCCTTGGCTTTCCGCCACACACTCTGGCTACATTTATTTGGAAGTATCCTGTCATTTCAAAAGGTAGGATAGGTAATTGTCTCTAAATGGTTTCCCTCTACATCACCTATCATGGGGAGTGGCCCTACCTCCTGCTTCGAGTCTTCCTAGACTGAACTTCCTAAGCCCTGTGGCTTCTACCTCTCTAATGGCTCTCAAACGTGTCTCTTCTCTCGTACCAACAACCGTGCCTCAGTTCAGGTTCTCACGGTTCTCCCTCTGGATTACTGCAATAATCTTCTCAACTGATTTTCTACCTTCTGTTTTACTTTCCTCTAGTCCTGTTCTGATAAATTGGATCATTTCACTTTCTCCAAATAAAATGTTTTCATAACTCCCAATTGCCTCCAGAATCCAGTCCGAGCTTAGCACACAAAGTCCTAATTGGCCCCAAGTGTGTGGTTTAAACCCAGGTAACATAAGACATGCAGGCCGGATGCGAGTAGCTTTTGGCACACTGGAGCCCCGCGGCTCCCATGGCTCACTGCCATATCAGTGCTGATATGTCTTCCACTGTTTGAGAGAAAATAGATTTATGGGCTGTCCCCCACTTTTTAAAAATTAATATGAACCCATGACAATACACCCGTACTTCCCAAGCCTGTGGATTAGACTCAATCCAAGGTTGGTCATTTTATACCTGTTTTATAACATGACTAATGTCCGGGAATTTCATAGGACTTTAAACCACATTATAAATACACACAGTAAAAACCTAAATCTAAACTTGCTAAGAGCAGAAAGTTAATTAAACCTTTACTCTCCTGCCTTCTCATTCCAAAGCAATTGTCTCTTCATCACATGATAAAATTCACCTTGATCACAAGATCATTACCTTTGGTAGAACCCTCTTTATCTCTTTTTTGTTTATTATTTCCCTGTGGTAGGGAGACAATGAATGGTGTCCCCAAGAGGAATGCAGACTGCTCTCACATAAAAACAGATGAGACAGAATTGCCCATGAACTTAAGACAGCATGGCCATGAGAGACCATTTGGGATGAAGCTGGAGGGATGCATCTGGGTGCTGGTACTCATGTAGGTGAGCAGGAGTTCATTGACTGATTCCTTGCAGTGATGCCCTGCAGGGCAAGCCACAGTCTACCTCTCCATGCAAAACGTCCCCAACAAGCTCTAAACCTAATGTCCTCATAGACTTCGATTTGGGGTAAATCCGGGTATAGATACATCGATTCTCTCCACATTTTCCAGAGTGGCCACCTCTCTACCTCCCAAACCTCATTTTATATAGCATTGACCCAAGAACATCTGAAATTTCTATGTTACTAATCTTTTTCAATCTTGGGCTGTCTTGAAAATCTGAGGTAATCAATGCTTTCCCCCCAAAAGACATGTATGCAAATAAAGTTTTTTACAATTTGCCTGTCAGTTTTAGTATACATCCATGCACTGACCCCCTAAGCTATCCTATGTAAGGACTCATACCTACAGAATACCCTGATTTATTCCCAAAACAATGATTCTCTATTTACTGTGGGAAAACCCCACAGTAAACAAAGCTGCAAGCATTTATTATTAAGCTTCCTTACTTCGACAAGCACCTTATTTAGATGAGAGTTTTTTTTTTGGAAGAGAACTTCTGGCCTTTTGGCACTTTGCTGCAGAACCCCTAGCTCAGAGCCTGGAGCTCAGCGGCAGAGGTTGATAAAGGTAATTTTACGCATTCACCCAAGGATGTCAGATCCTAGGAAATTAGTCATATATTCCACTAAGGCAAACTAACAAACACATCACAGAATGCTCAAAATAATCAGTCAAGTGGATCAGGAGGCTGTGTGCTCTCCTCACTAGACAGCCAACTTGAGAAACCCACATGAAGACCAGGAAGGCTGCAGCGGAAACATAGCGACCGTGAGCTGGATGGTCTGATGGGCAAACGGGTGCCCCTTGCACCTGTGCCCTTTTGTACACCCTGGGATAGGACTGCCAGGGAGAAGCAAACCGGAGAAGCTTCTTAAGCATGACAAATTTTATCGGATTTTTAATGTTTCTACTATAAAACATAACCACATTAAAGAACACTCTTGATGACATACCCATAATCACTTTAATGCATCACTACCATTACCATTTTGATATGCATCTTCAATCATTTCTTTCCTGTATATACTTGTATCCCAGATATCAGCTCCATTTGCATCTTCCCCTCTATAAGCTCCCCCAAATAAATATATTCAACACCAGGGAGGAACTAAACAAATTTCAGCATGTAAAAAAATTATATGAGGCAGATGTCTCATTTTCAACAAACAAATGAAAAATTTAAGAAAAAAAAGAACAAATGAAAAACAATTTAAGTGGTATATCAATCAACTGCAGTGCTTAGACCTTATTTCAAATACACTTTGAGATGGTTTATATTAGCCTCATTGCGAGCACAAAGCAAAAACCTAGAGCAGATACACAAAAGACAAAGAAAGGGGAAGCAGAGCACAGTACCCTGAAAAATCAA